AACATGTTCTTTATGAAATGTAAGCACATATCCACAAAATTTTATTTAATGCTTTGACAAGGAAAACAATTAAATATATTGTTGAAATATGGCGCCTTATATATACATAAAGCGTCATATTTTTCAAAAATTTATTTGACTGATAGATTTATCGATTGTTTTTTTTTTTTGAAGTTTTGTGGCGATGTTCTGCACTTCATGAAGAACATGCTCTAAAACTTTCATAAAAAAATTCGACACAAAAGGTGCTCAAATGAACTTGGGCCGAGAAAAATCGTGTTAGTCCAGACTGACGAGATCATTTCTATAGCTTTATATATGTACACATTATTATATAATACGGAGTATTAGTTTGCTCAATTGACACCACTGACATTACATCCTGGCTCCGCCACTGTGTAAGTATATTAAAGAACCACCCAAGAAAACAGAGGTTAAGAATGTACAAACAAAAGGGGAAACAAAACTGCAGGTTATCCACCATGGATAACCCAAACCCAGCAAAAGAGCTCAAAATAAGCAACGCCCCACACCAAAACCAAGCGTTGGTGAGGCACAAACAAGCCCAAAAAACAGCCACAAGAAACTCCCAAACCAAACCAAGAGATGGTTAGGCACCACAAGTCATAGGTTTACAAGTTCATGTGGATAAAGACTATACAAAATCTTGTAAACAATGTATTGAATCCTCGCAAAAACGTCTTCTTCTTTGGGAACAAGGCCATCAAAGCATGTAGCATTCCGGGGTTCTCCAGATCCAGTAGATGGAGTAGCAAAAAGCAATCCTAGCCGCCTTAGCTTTGATCCCCGAGCCTTGTCTCTTCCTCTTGATCCATTTCAACGAGCTCAGCATGGTCCCCATCTCCCTAGGAATGTCCAGCCATGTCTTGACTCTATGCCAAACTTTACCTGAAAAAGCACAAGCAAAAAATAGGTGTGGTACCGTTTCCGGACCACCCTTACAAAGGGGGCAAACATTAACAATATCTAATCTATGCAAGTTATCAATAGTGGCAAGGCGGTTACGAAAGGCTAACCAAAACGTGAAGGAGAACTTAGGGGGGATATAGGTCTTCCAAATGAAAGACATCCACATTTGTGTTCCCCCCTTAACTCTAAGAAGGTTGTACACCGATCCCGAGGATAGCTTGCCATTTGTTTGGCAAGTATTAAGAAAACTAATGGCATCGTCGGTGTTGTCAAAGTGAGAGACAATTTGATCTTTAATCAGAGCAATCTTTTTTATCAGTTGGGAGTCTCTTTTGTGAGGTGTGAACTCCCAAACACCTCTACCGTTAAGGTAGACACCATGAAAGTATTTTATATTTACACCATGCATCAATATCACCTTCTAGCTTGCAGATAGAGATCAGATCACAATTCCGAGTTTTAAACATATCGATACTCTGTCAAAATTCTGACTCACCTCATACTTGTGTTTTTTACTCTCCCTTAGTTTTACACTTTTACTACCTCGGGTCTGTGATGGCATCATATGGGTAATGAATAGTATAGAAAAAAAAACTGAGAAAAAGTAAGAAAAAACTGATGAAAAGTAAGAGTAATTGAATATCTTAAAGAAAAAACTTATCAAAAAGAAAAATTGCAACAAAAATTAAAATGCATTCCGAAAAGGAAAGTGCATCAAACAAAAGAATACAAGGGAGTGTAATAATTGTCATGTTTTGCACTAAAACCATTTCATGAAGTCAGTTTATTTTCAATTAATTACTACTATATTCGTTCTTAAATAAATGCAACATGTTAAATTTTATACTATTCACATGTTCTACTTTGACTATGTTTTATTTATTAATGAACTCATAAATTAATTGTTTTAAATATTGTTAAACTTGTTTCATTGTAAATTTTCAAAATCTTATTTTTATAACTTTTTTACTAATAAAGAATTGTATAAGTTAATGGATAAAGTTGTGCATTGGCAAACATAAGAAGTGAGTTATTGCACTTATCTAAGAATGGAGTTAGTATTATTTTAATACGAACAATAATATTAATTAAAATAATAAATGTCTACTGATGTCTCATGAAATCCACATAAATCTAATGAAATCCATATAAATATAAAAAGGTCCACTAAAATCTTATACGAAACGAAGCCTATCGCCATGCCGACCATCAAATACGAGACCCTTCTCAAAGATTTGATGGAATGGCCCAGCCCAAAAAAAGGAAGGTTATAGTACGCGATGCGTTCCATTTGTACGAATCGCGAACATACCACGCACGACCGGACGTAGAGCTACTAAGAGCTGGCAGACCGGCAGGTTCCAGATCCGAAATACGAGAATGAATCCGCCCCTTTAATTCCTCCCTCTGAAATAGAAGAATTTATCAAACTAGGGTGTGAAAATTTAAAAAATAGCAACTAATATGTACGGTTAATTATGTAATCGTGACTAAAATCTATAAATAATACATTTCAAAGATACATTTAGGGAAAGTTTTGCCATGTGTCATCTTCTAAGTAAGCCCCTTTTAAATTTTCTTTCCAATTTAGTATATACGGAGTATATTAATTAATTAGTGTGTGAGATTTCGATATAAGTTAGAGAGTAAAATGCATAACTAGTCCCTAAACTATCAGCCCCATATCATTTTGGTCCTCGAACTAACAAATCTATCATTTCAGTCCCTAATCTATGTAATCCATATTAGTTTGGTCCTTCTATCTATATTTTGACGTTAAACTAACTAATGTACTTAGTTAGTGCATGTATGTGTAAATCAAAATGCTTATAAGACAAAATATAACTTATAAAAATCTGATTTAATATCTAAATAAATTAGAATGAAAACTACTATCAAATCATAATATAACACGTTAAGACATACTATCGTAATATACTATATCCGTTCTCTTTTAAATACAACATTGGACTTTTTGCACTATTCATATGTTCTACTTTGACTCTATTTTATTTAATACAGAGTAATGTATTATAAAATAAATTTAAAAAGTGTTAAATTCCTCTCATTTTCAAATTTCAAAATCTATTTTTTTACTAATATTTGTATCGTTCTCAAAATTTGTCAACACACAAGTTTCACGTTTGCCAACACACAACTTTGACCATTAATATCTTTAATTCCTTCTTAATAAAAAAATTAAAGAAAAATTGGAAAATTTAAAATGAGAGGAATTTAACATTTTTTTAAATTTAATTTATAATACATTACTCCGTATTAAATAAAATAGAGTCAAAGTAGAACATATGAATAATGCAATAAGTCCAATGTTGCATTTAAAAGAAAACGAAGGTATTATATTATGTTATAACTTTATACAACACGTTGTATTATGATTTGATAGTAGTTTTCATTCTAATATATTTAGATATTAAATCAGAATTTTATAAGTTATATTTTGTCTTATAAGTATGTTGATTTACATGCACTAACTAAGCATATTCCGTTAGTTTAGTCAAAATATGGACAGAAGGACCGAATTAATATGAATTACATAGATTAGAGACTAAAATGATAGATTTGTTAGTTAAGGGACCAAAATGATATGATGCCGATAGTTTAGGGACTAGTTATGCATTTTACTCAAAGTTAGATTAGGATTAGAATTGTTACTACGTTTTTAATTCAGTCTAAGCTACTATGTTGGCACTCTACCCAAGTATGCTACCAAAAAATCTCTCCTCCATACGACACTATTGATGGACTTCAACCAAAAAAATCTCTTTATTTTTTTATATATTAAAAAATCTCTTTATTTTTTAAATTGATATAACTTTTTTTGTGTGTGATTCCATTTTTATAAAAAATATATCAAAACTCATAATTTTTTAATATCTTTCATATGACACTAATATTACATATGAAAATAAAAATAATTTAAATATATGATAGGTGGATCGGAGGTTTTTAGGCTCAAAACTTTTCTTCAATAGATCTTAATTTTTTTTTTACATTCAAACATGTTTATCGGGCGCTCAAATCGAAAACCGAAAATCTATCGAGGCAAAATCAAGCTCCATTTTGTAATAGGTTAATATTAATTTCATTGTTTTGATGTAGCATACTAATGGGAATTTCATACTCACTTCATGCCAAATTAATTTGCAAAGTCAACATTTTTGTTAACCAATAGTAAAGTTAAATCATCCTTATTGATAATTAAATTAGTAATTAATATTAACATGTTCGAAAACTACATTATATTGAAATCTCTAAAAATGGATATCCTAATTAAGTGAATAAAATCAAACTGTATGACCAAAAAATTAACTTTGCAAAACGATTTGTCACAGAGGTAGTATGTATAATATTTGACCATTAACACGTTAAACTTTAGTATTTAAAATTATTCTCTAATATTTAATTGTATATAAAATTACGATGTCCTAAAAATTACTAGGACTAAATTATGAATGACGGAGTACATTTTTAAATTAATATTTATTCTTTTAGAATTAAGGCTTGGACGTTTTAAATTAATCTTTAAGACTTCTAATAAATTGAGCTTTTCAATTATTTTTGGCTAGGCTAAACACCATTTGTTTATAAACACATATCTATAATTATAAAAAACAGTTGGGGCTAGGCTGGGCTGGGCTGAAGCCCACTCTTAGAGAAATGAGAATAACTATGATCTTAGGAGAGAAATGAGAATGAATTTGGACCGTTAGATTGTATTATGTGAAACTGAATGTACATTAGGTGAAATTGAAATGTGCATTATGTGAAATCGGAACGTGCAACACAAAAGGCATGACCACTAGTAGAAAACTGTCTTATAGTGACACTTCGTCAGTGACACTTTGTGATAAGTGTCACTAATAGACGACATATTGTCTTGAAAATGCATAAATGCCATGGTTTTGTGACACAATGGTATCAACACCTGTATAGTGACATATTGTCATATTAATAATTATCATAAAAAATGTCTCATGCTCGGGGTCATTAATGTAAATAAGAGAAAATAATTTTCATGTTTGTTCTAATTTTAATGCAATCGATTCTCAGTGAATAACCTCTTCCTTCCTTTGTAGAAACCTAACAGTCTAACCTTCCCGACCAGTCACTCGGTGGCAACAGCTCGCTCCTCCCATCTCAACTTCCTCCCCATCCATCTCGCAAGTCACAGGTTCAGACGAAGGTCCAGCCACCTTAAAAGCTGGGAACTCCTCATCCATGCCATCTAGAGCAGCAATCTTGGAAGACGACCTAGTAGCTCTTGCCGTGGAAGATTCTGCCTTCCCCTGTTTCTTTTTTGCCATTGTAGGATAATAGCCGCAACGAAACGGCGATGAACAGTGCTCCAAGTCGGCAAATCTGGTTTAAGGCTATCCAACCTCTCCCGTCACCAGAACAAAGTCCTGATGTGCGTCTGAGGTTAAAGAACACCACTCAACCCTTCAATTCCATAAACAAACACCCAAAAATAAGACTTAAGCAAAATTGATTTCTAAATGAACAGTAAAAATCGTGAAACCTGATGCATGTATAATTAATCATGATTTTCACCTTCTCTGTTGATATTTTTGCTCTCCATTTGAAAAGCATTATATTTAAAAACTAATTGGGACATCATAAATTGGACTCTCAAGCCAATTAGAACTTCTTACCTAGTGTTTTTCCTACCAATATTAAGTTCTCATTTCTTCTTATTCTCTCACTGCCATTGATTTTTTTCTCCTGTTCAGCAAGGCTGCACATATTACTTTAGATGCTCACAGGGATACCATTCCAATTCTCAGCTATGCAATTTCGAGCTCCTCCACCTCTCTTTCCATCTCAAATGGTAAACCTTGTTTATCTCTAATCAATTGCTTATTGTTATTATCTTATTATAACTCAATGCTAACTATATAAGGAGACAAGGAGTTCTAGCTGCGCTGCTAGTCTGCTAGTGTCTATGTTTTACTAAAAGAAAGATGTAGTCTTAGCTTATATTGATGGACTGCACTTTTGGTTATCAGTGGGTTGATAAGGAAGGAAAGACTCCCCTGATTTTGGATTGCGTGAATCCCCAGCTTTATAATGTTGCAAGTATTTTAATCGAGTTGGGTGCAAATGTAAATGCTAGATCATCATGCTTCTTCTGCTAACCTATTTCAAAAAAAACATAAGAGGGGTTAATTTTAGTTTTAGATCCATTCTACTATACTTTGTTATTGTTCTCCAACCCATAACAATTACTTTTCATTTAGTGCTATTATCTAAGTGTTTGGACTTGTGATTTTTAAGTATGGATATCCAATTGATTTCTAATTGCTTAAAGTTTTTCTCTAATGACAACATGGTTGTTCTATGTATTTTCTAGTGAAATCATCGAATGGTTAGATTTGAGTTGTCATAGCACATAAGGGTAATGTAAATGTAGTAGTTTAATACTCCATTTTAGTGTAATCTTGTCCAACTTTGATTTTTTTTTATAGAAAGTGCAGTTTCAAAGTCGAAGAACTTATATTATTGAGGTATGTGGTGTCAGTAGATGCATTTTTGTTTTTCCTGTACTATGTTATAATAATGTTAATCTAAACTTGTAGAACATTTTAACATATGAGGATGAACTAACAGCAGGGTAAAGAAGTTTTAAACATGCATCTTGGGATCATGTAGAACGTGGAATTATGATATCCAAGAACAGGACTATCCAATACACGGTTGATGACTTCGCTAAATACCACATTGCATGTAGTAAGTATCCCTCCTTAGACCCTGTGAGTGGTGATGCTGAAAAGGAATACTGGAGCCAGGTTTGTGGTGGTCAGGAGAGATGAGGAGGCAATTATATGGGCTATAAAGGAAGAGGAGGCAAATTCAGAGGTGGGAAGCACCCCCCCCCCCCACGAAACCGGGATAGCAATATCAGGTGGGCCAAACAAATCTCAGAAGGTTAGGGCCTGATACATACGAGTGTATCTGCTTCTATCACGAGGATGAGGTTGGCATACATTAAATCATCTATTTCCAATCCAAGTTATTTCACCGTTCTGGTTCGTGGGGTCCCATGGTCTGAAGAAGAAGCATACAGTGAGATGGTTGCAAAATTCTTCACAGATTATTATGCATCAAGTTATTTGTCTCACCAAATCGTATACCGGTCTGGTGTTGTTCAGAAACTGGTGGTTAGTTCATATAGCTGATAGACCTTTTTTTGTTTTCGTTTTTTTTGTGAGTTCTTGATAGTATTTGATGAATGGTTAATCATGTGCATAAACACAGACTGATGCAGAAAAAGTGTATAGGATGTTAAAACCTGGACAGCATGGGGCTAGTCTCTTGAGGTGTGGAATCTGTGGAGGAAAGTCAGCATCTTTCAAGGTTCTTTCTACCGATTCAGAAATCTTAGGTAATTATATCAAGCTAGATTTAATTTTGACGATGAAACAATGTCTTTATAATATTCATGAAGTTAGTAAAACACTTGTATCTATTCTAGGTGATGCCTCCTTGTTTTCCCAAGTGTAACATGAGTTGATAAACCAACCAACATACGCTTGCTTATAATGTTTCGTTGTGTAAAAGTGGAATGACACTATCTATGGAGTGCTGAAATTAATTAAATGAATGCTTATTTGTTTTGCAGGAATGTGCAGCTGCATTAGTATTTTTTTTAGAACACGGTATGCTGCTTTGATTGCTTCACAGGGAATTAAGTCTCCAAATCCAATGTTATGGGTGACAGATCTTGCCCCAGAACCAAGAGACATGTACTAGTCAAACATTTGCGTGCCTTATAGGCTTCTTTGGATCCGTAAAATAATTATTCTAATGGCATCCATTTTTTTTGTCGCCTTCTTCCTCGTCCCGGTTTCCCTAACATAAGGCCTCGTCCACCTCGACAAGCTTCAACACACATTTCCATTCCTGAGAGGCGCATTGAAGAGGAAGTTCATAATTCAACTCGTGACTGGATATCTACCCAGTGTTGTCTTAATATACTGTTTTCTTACCTCGCCCCACCATTAATGATGCTGTTTTCCACAATGGAGGGCTCCATTTCCCGAAGCGGGAGAAAGAAGAGCACTTGCATTAAGATCTTGTACTTCATGGTTTGGAATGTGTTCTTTGCACAGACGATTTCGGGGTCGGGAAAACAGTGAGTCCCTTTCTTCATTCCGGTTAGCCCCTTTCTTTATTTCATTTCTGTTGATACAAAAATCAAACTTGCTTTTCTTCATTCCGGTTAGTCCCTTTCTTTATTTCATTTCTGTACTACTCGACACATGTTTATAATAAATTCTCTCTATAGTTTGCACAGATTCTTATATTATTTATCGATTTTATCCTTAAGCTAAAAGTTTGTGGAGGCAGATTACACTACAGGTCTCATGTGCTCCTATTATTTTCATGTATATGCTCCATCTAGGTTGTTCTCGAGGCTGTCTTCTTCAAAGAACTTAATGGTTAGAGCAGAGCATAAACTGATTTTAAAACATCAGGTTAATGTAATCATGCGAGTTGTACTGATGCATATAATCAATATAAGCACCCACTAAGGAATTGTCACATATTACTTCAATCAATTAAATGATTCTGAACTTAATGACTTGTTTTCTTAAATTCATGTTTATTATGTTTGAACTTTTATGTTTTTGACATCGCTCTGTATCTTTATATGCAGGTGGGGAGAAGAAGAATTAGAGTTAAGGAGATGAATGCAACGCTCTTGATCTTTTGGCATTTTGTCCGCCTTGTAGTATTTGTGTATTAGCACTTTTTTAATTATTCTGGTTGTCGTTTGACTTCTCCTTTTTACTTATTTAGTTTTAGGGTATACCATTCACCATTGTGAATTATGTACATTTACAATTGTAAGGAATGATGATTTAAATTTAATGAAAATATTTGTTTGATGTTTTGATTATTTATTGGTAATAGAACATTTAGTATGATATATATATATATATATATATATATATATACACACACACACACACACTTATGATACTAATGTATCATATATCTTTATGATACTAGGGTGTCAAAAAAAGTTATGATATTATAACGTCATAATTTTATGTGACATTTTATTGTCATAATTTTGTGACACTAATCTGTTTAACAATCAGTGACACTAAATTTTGTGTCACTTGCCCCGCTTTTCTGTGACACTTTCAGTGTGTCACTAAATCGTTTAGTGACACTAATTTAATGTCACTATAAGCCATTTTTTTACTAGTGGACACAATGACATGTGAAGTTTAATTGTGCATTAGGTGAAACTGAACTGTGCATGCATTAGGTGAAAATGGGATGTGGACAACAAAAGCTATGATGCGGTGTCATTTTTATGCTTTTTATTCTGTACATTTCAATGTCACGTAATACAGTTTTAGTGTTACGTTTTATTCTGCACATTTTGATTTCATCTAATGCACTTTTCAGTTTCGCTAAATGCACAATTCATTTCTAGATAAAACAGTCAACGGTCCAGATTCATTCTCATTTCTCCTTACACACACATGATGCAAGTTAAAACAATAACATTATAAGCCGAACTAATGTATTTTAAAGTAATTCTTTCATTTACGTACCGTTGTCATGAAAATATGATACATAAAAGTCTTATACGGAGCAAAATTGAAAATCCACAACAAGTAGAACTACTAACAAAAGTTGATATTCAAATTAGATCAACAATATATATATATACTGATACTCACCACAAACGAAATCAAATAATAATACAACATTATTATACCTCAAATCAATCAACACGAGACCATTGCAACTTTGATAAATTACATACTGTATATCCTTGGAATAACGATTGATGATCGGCTGACGTAAAACCCAATAGTCGATTACAATCACCTCGGAGATATTCATTGTGTGTGCAATGGCAGACCCTCAAAAGTTGACACAATCCTTTTAAATAAGGATGTTAAGATTCTAATTTGGTTCCCGTATAAAAATGTGTTAATGAAATGACAAATTTGAAACTGAAGTTGAAAGGAAACTAAAAAATACTGGATAAGATAGAAGGGCTGGAGTAAGTAGAGTGAATGAAAAGAATTCGTACTCTATAATGATGTAGAAGGTGAGATGAGAGAACAACATAATCCTATGACTCGAAAAACATTAACCCTTTAAAATTATTTAATTCAATCTAATAAGTTCAAATACTAAACGAAAATGAAAGTGGAATATATGAGAACAAATATCTTTTGAGCACTCCCAAGTGATTTCAATAAATTGTATTATTTTTTGTTAATAACTCCGAAATCATTCATAAAAATGGGGAAAAGAGTTATAACAAAAGTTGGAAAAATTAAAATAGCAAGATTGAATGTGTTAAAATTCGCTAATACACGTACTACCTCAGTCCCTTTTTATTTAACCATCTTTGACTTTTTCAGTCAAAGATAATAAACTTTGATCCAATATTTTAATTAATATATTCATGTCAAACTTAAGAAGTTTATACTTTTATGATAATTTTTTAACAAACACATTTGCATATTCATGTTCATATTATCAATATTACTGTGTAGAAATATATAATCGGTCAACATTTAACATCATTGATTTGGAAAATACTGTTTGGCTAAATAAAAAGGGACCGAAGGAGTATGTTCACCTTCCCAATTAAGGATATTTTCAGTTGGATTCAATTGTTTAATCTCATTTATGAAAGGTAAAGTTATTTTTTTACTAAAAGTGTGTTTAAAAGTTTTGGATTATATTTTAATATATGATGGTCCCGGATAGAGGTAAAAGTCTAGAGGGGGGGGGGGTGAATAGACTTTTAAATCTTTTTCAACTTTATGAAGTTTTCCCTCTAGATGAGTTGATCTATAATCTTTTGAGAGATTAATAGATGCACAGCGGAAGTCTTTAACCTCTTTATACTTAGTGTGAGATAACTTTCTAGTTTAGATGATGTTTAGACTGGTTACAAGAGGAAGTAGGCTTGGCAGTAGACTGGTGAGCAGGTAAGTGCTTAGTCTACTGCTGCACAGGCAGTTTGCTGACTGGCAGGCAACTGCTGAGTTGGCAGTCGGCTGGTGGGCAGGTTACTGCTGAGGCAACTGTTAAGAACAGGATGACTCTTGGATGGCTTTTTGTTCTGGCTTGTTATGGCTTTCGGAAAGACACATATGGATGGGCAGTGGGCTCAGCAGGAGGGTGAAGACCAGGGTACTGCTGAGGCACCTTCTGAGTGTAAGATAACTTCTAGTGGAAAACACTCTCAAGGAGAGTGAGTTATTAAGCAGTAGGCTAAGCAGTACAGTCGATGAAGACTACTGCTTAGGATGCTGCTGGCAAACTACAATCCTTTAGTGAGATGTGTTTGGTGTGTGCTCTGCATGTATGAAAGTAAATCAACACACGATATATCCTGGTTCAGAGGTGGTGTAATCCTCCTACATCCAGTCCCACCCTATTTCAGATGGATTTCCACTAAAGTATTCAGCCCAATACAATTAGTGCCAATCTAGCCTTGACAACTCTGGCCTAGATTGAAGGTTTTTCACGATGAGTATAACACCACTCAAAGTTACTCAGTCCTTAGACTTTTCTCAATTGATCCAGTGGGGATCAAAAGGTACTCTATCTATCTAACCACACTTTAGGATCTGAACAACTGTTCTCCTAAGTGTTTACAACAATTTGTTTACAAGAAAATTTCTAACCTCCAACTAGAAACTAAGCTCTAAAAGTGTAATCGTGTATGATCTAGTCTAAGAGCTTATTGAAGCATGAGTCTAAGCAGAGAGCAAAGTTTAACGTGCACTTTCTCTTTTGCTAGATATCTCTTGAATGTTTGAAGTGAATACTCTACTTAGATGACTCAAAAACTTGATTTTATCACTCATGCTTCTGCCTATTTTATAGGCCTTTTGAGCAGATCAATCTCCTCCGTTGGTTGAGAGGAGTTGATCGTAGTCGCTGAAAGAGTTGTACTCTTTGTCTTCATGTGTTGGAGCAAGATAAGGAGATAATTTTTGCCGATCAGTTCTTCTTCGAAAGATCACTTCTTGTGTATCATCATCACCTTTTGGGACCCATGTACAATTCTTGCATTAAATGCTTTTTAGCCTTACGCCTTTGTTATACGGCTTATCCCTGCATGTTACTGTGCACCAAGTAAATTATGTACTGGAGGTAAAAACAATTACCCTGGTGAATTTCCAGCAAAAATTTATTTGGAGCATTTGTTCAATACTTCCCACTTCTTAGTTTTATTTGTGTATCAAATAAAGTTATACTGGTAGGATTTGAATGTCCTTTTTAAGGTAACAAAAATTACCTTAATGTATTTTAAGTTTCCAGTATTCTTTATTTGATACATTTTATTAGTCATGACTTATTAGGTGGTGGAGGTGTTCATTTATTGGTATAGTGGCATCATCAAAATCTATCAATCGTTGGGTACTAACAATTTCCCTCTTTTTGATGATGCCAAAACTATACCAAGCAGGACAGATCTCCTTTAGTTCAAAAGAAGAATAATGCAATGTTTTACAGTAGTTTATAGTCACTTTCAGACTATTTGCAGCTGCCTTCTTTGCTGCTATCTGTCTTCTTGAGGAGGGTCCAGACTATTTGCAGCTGCCTTCTTTGCTGCTATCTGTCTTCTTGAGGAGGGTCCTGCTGAGGTGTCTTCCCCCCTTTTTGGCAGCATCTTCCGGTTGGGCCTTTTTTTTTTTTTGAAGATCTCTTCAGCCTCTTCTTTTGAGCAAACTTTTCTCTCCTTGGATTGTTCTGACTCGTGAGCCAGCCTTTAGAAATCATCGCCAGGACTGAGCATGTGCTTGTTGTCCACTGGGTAATTTTGAGTGTGAAGTCCAGCATGGCAGGGAACTCTTTTCTTGTGGTCTGTGAGTCTGCTGTAGTATCCCCAGTCTCCTGCTGCTAGAAGTGTCTTGTGGCAGGGACCTCTGCTGAGCCTTCTTCTTTTTCTTTTGTTTCGGACCTTGTTGCTTCAATCCCTTAGATGATGCTCCTTATGATTAAAATAGATAGGTTCCCCCTGAGTTGATGCAATCATCAATCTTTAAGTTGATCAAGATCATCGAGCATTCCAAGCTCCTGCCTTAGGGAATTGAACCGTGCTTCACTGAGAGGCTTGGTGAAGATATCAGCTAGTTGTTTTTCTGTGGGGATGTACTCCAATTTGATGGTTTTCTTCTCAACATGCTCTCTGATGAAATGGTGCCTGATTTCAATATGTTTGGTTCTTGAGTGAAATACAGGATTATGAGTGATCGCAATTGCACTTGTGTTATCACACAAAATGCTAATTTCTTTAGTCTCTTCTCCATAATCCTTCAATTGTTGCTTCATCCATAGTACTTGAGCACAGCAGCTGCCTGCAGCTATATATTCAGCTTCAGCAGTGCTAGTAGCAATTGAGTTTTGTTTCTTGCTGAACCAAGAGACAAGTCTTCCACCAATTAATTGACAAGTTCCTGAGGTGCTTTTTCTATCAATTTTGCATCCAGCAAAGTCAGAGTCCGAATAACCATAGAGTTCAAAACCTCCATTTGTTGGGTACCATAATCCAGAGTTAGGATTGCCTTTTAGATACCTCAGAATCTTCTTGGCAGCTAGAAGATGGCTTTCCTTAGGTTTAGATTGAAACCTTGCACACACACCAACTGAGTAGGAAATATCTGGCCGACTAGTGGTGAGATATAACAAGGAACCAATCAGACCTCTGTAAAGTGTGGGATCAACATCTTTGCCATCTTCATCCTGACTTAGACTTTGGGATGTATTCATGGGTATTTTCACAGTGGACTTGTTTTCAACTTTGAACTTTTTCATGAGATCTCTTGTATATTTTGCTTGGTTGATGAAGATACCTTGAGGGGTCTGCTTTACTTGTAGTCCCAAGAAATAATTCAACTCTCCCATCA